GGCCTCGTCTCGCCACCCTCTCCCCCCTCCCTTTCAGTTTCACACACAGGACGGCACGGTGATGGGTGGCACTGTCTGCTTTGTCATTTCTGGCCTCTCACTCTCTCACTCTCGTTACTGTTACTCGTTATGTCAAGCCAACGAGCAGTATCACGTCTCGGTACCGAGCAGTAGTTTAGTGCTCGGGAAGCGATGGGAAGGGCGTTTCTCGCGAGAAACGAGTACTCGGCTCGTCTCGTGCCCGCCCCTACTGAGAGGGATAAAATATCCCAGCAGAAGGAAGGAGATATTCGATACAAATTCTCCCTGCACGTACTAGAATCGTATAATAATATCATCTTTCTGAGCGACGACGGGGCGCCTACGGGTGCTCATTTCGGATCGGGTCGGGTCGGGTCGTGTCGGGTTGATTGCCTGACTCGTCGCCTGAAAACAAACGTGTTTGTTTCTTATACGGGGTGCCCACTACGCTGGGTCGGCCGATCGCCAGACCCGGTAGCCTGAAACGGAAAAAAACAACAAACACGTCTGTTTTTGAGGTGACCGAGTCGGGTGATCGGCCGATCCCGTCCGTAGTGGGCACCCCGTATTAGGCGAAGGGTCCAGAGATCGGTTTGTGCTACGATAGCCGCTTTGCGCCTTTGGCCCATCGTTGTGTCTCCCACACTGGTGAGGCTAGGGACGATTCTGGCGCGATGTTTGATCTTTTCTTGTCGTGGCGTCCGTGGCCTAGTGGTTAGGCTCTCGGACTCGCAACCGTAAGGTCGTGGGTTCGAATCCCGTCAGGGGCCCGACGTTGTGTCATTGGGAAAGGCACTTAGCACAAATTTTCCTCGCTTCACCCAGGTGGAAATGGGTACCCGGCTATAGACAGTGAACGATCTTGTCAGTTTGATAGTGTTTGAGCGCGTGAAATCCGCAGCTTGCACTGTATGCTTCCGCGGAAGCTGAGAATGTTTCTGTGTGTTCTCAGAGGGTCTGTTGGGGGTATAATAGTTGTGAAGCGCATAGAGCAAGCTCTTTAGCATGGATATGCACTATATAAATACAATTATTATTATTATATTATCAATCTAGCCAGCAAACCGCCCGCAGACACCTGTTATCAGTGAGTGAACCTGAAGCCACGTAGCCACGTACTTGCAGCACCTATTCCTAGTCTTTTCGGCTCTGGCAACACAATAAGGTCATATAAGTGTCGAAGATTAAAGGTGTTACAAAAGAGTAACAAACACAAAAAAAGAAGGAGAGGAGATAAAGATGATTAGATGTTTGATAGGAAAGAAGGAGCAAACCACACCAGAGCACCCG